CGTTTTAGCTGCACTGGGGCAGCTCTGGGTCTGCTCTAAACAAGATATACAGGACAAACTATTTATCTGTCCTGTATTATCCTGTGTAGAGCAGACCCAGAGCAGCCCCAGTGTAGCTAAAACGAACAAGCCCTCTGTTTGACGGATGAATAATTTTACCGGGGATAAGCAATAAAAATTCACACAGCACTTGACATGCAACAAATCCATACCGAGATTTATAAGACATACATTTTTTTTCGTATCACGTATCGAATTTACTCACGTAAATGAATGATTTATAAATCGATGTGTCGAATGGAGTTGCGCCGCTCCTGCCTATCTTTTGTATTCGTCCCGTAATTTGATAACTTTTTTCTTTTATAACTTGAAAAATAAGCTGCGGACAAAATTTTTGTAAAGGAAAAATCGTCTCAGAATTAACTCAGGAATACGTCTGTACAAGGACACCTGGGTTGTTCTGAATCACCCTGTATAAGTTTCGGATTTAAGTTGGCTATTCTGAAAAGTACTAGTCGATTAGGGTGAAATCAGATGATACGGAAAAGAGCTGCGGAACGGAGAGTGCGTCATTGAGACAGCCAATCACAGCTATTGCGTACGATTGTATTTCGCAAGTGATTGGCTGTCTCAATAACGCACTCTCCGTTCCGTAGCTCTTTCCGTATCATCTGATTTCACCCTAAGAGAGAGACAGAGAAAGACAGTGGGACTGTTTTGTCTCTTTTCCTTGTAGGCGGATAGAAAGCCTCCATTTTTTATATGCATATGTGTAGAGTATACATGAATATATTCATGTATAGAATTCAGTGAAAAGAGTCTACAACAGAAAGAGACAAAACAATTTAAATGATCTCTTTGTTTGATCGCATCTTGAGCAGCACGGCGCTTCCCAATTTGTATAGAGTTTATCGAATTTATATAAACTTTTAAAATATAATAAAATAAATTTTCAACCAATTTTCTTTTATTTAATAAAAATTGCCAAATATCTTTTTTATTTCTTTGTGATCAAAGTGGTCTTTTCCCGTGAAGTCCAATTCATAAAGACCTATGCATGTAACAGCATACATACGGGCACTATCAAATTCTAGAGAAGCTATAGCTGTAATCTTGTCAAAGTTTTCCACATACGTCTAAAAATTTTTAAGACAATTAATAAAAATTTACTAATAAAATACAAAATACAAGAAATTTGAAAGTAGTACAAACTTGAATGGCAACACTCTGTCTCTGATCCCATAGAACACATTTAAAATGCCCTGTCATAAAAGTGTACATATTATCTGATGAGCAACAAAATGAATGTACATATTTAGAAGAATCCCATGTACGTACAAATTCGGATGTTCTGAAATCACAGTAGCAAATATAAAGAAATTGAATGGCTAATTAATATCAACAATAAGATTTATTACCTTAGATCCATTTTTTTAATAGATTCATCAAAACACATGAGAATAGTGTGAGGATCCTCCCATAGTAGTTGGCGAAAATATTCTTCACATTTTTTATCCATTACCTGATAACTAAATTGTTTTACATTAGCATGATGTATATTTTATTCCAAATATACATAAAGACCTATGTTCTGTCCAGCGAGAGAAAGATCCAAGGTTAAGACGAAAACTTGTTTGTTTCGCTCAGGTCTCCCCTCACGTTTAGAAAGCCACCCATTCCATACAACTGTACTGCTTGTGCAGCTTGCCAACGGGTGGTGCAACGCTCTTCCCACTTTGACTGCTATGCTTCTATGCGCTGACCGGGTTTTTCTCCCGCTGGACAGAGTATACTCTATAGCCTTATATACGGGCATAATGTTCGTATCAAACTACATATTGAAGATTGAGAATAAAGATTAAAGATTGAAATTTGACCAATCAGGATAAAGAACTTTTGGTTTTTTTTGTTTTGATTGGTTAAATTTCAATCTTTAATTTTCAATCTTTAATGCATAGTCTGATACGAGCTTAACGACGGATCTTTCACGGATGTGAAAGAGAGAAAGATATATTTTTACTCTTTTTCATGCCCACGCTCTTCACTCATTATTGGAATAGAAAATCAACAATTTATACTTTATAAATATACAGACAGGCTGAAAAAGCTTTTATTCTCGATTTGTAGGTATTGTATCGATTGTACACTCGGTCACAGAAATGCCTTAACCATTGAGTTCTATAACATACTGGAGCGAGCCTTCCTATCCCGAACAAAGAAAACTGCGTCCGC